TATAGATTTCTACCTCGCCTGTAAATATTATCTGCTTTGTAAGACATCGTATATGTATGAATAGCATCCACAAAGGAAGGTTTAAGATATACAGACATATTTGGTGTCTGTAAAACCAATTTTGTTGTATTGCTCTAAACATACATTTGTTTTCTATAGAGCGAAAATCCATCGATTGATATATGGATCGACAGCGTTTCTTTACAACCCTTCACCCAAGAGGAATGGAAGTCTCACCACTATCAGAGCATTGAAAAGGTGCAACCAGAAGACATCTTCTTCAAATATACACCAATCATTCATCATATCTGATCAACCAAATGTATGTTAAGCTCTTCAATTTTCTGATCAATGGCAGGTTAGGAAGAGTAAGGTCAGAATTCAAGCAGTTGATGGTAAAGGCAAACCGCTAGCGAATCGAACACTGATTCTCCAACAAAAGTTTGCAAAGTTCCCATTTGGATGTGCCATTAACAAGAACATCCTAAACAACCAAGCCTACCAAAACTGGTTCACTTCAAGATTCAAGTACACCACGTTTGAAAACGAAATGAAATGGTACGCCAACGAACCTATCCAAAACYGCGAGGACTACACAGCAGCCGATGCTATGCTTCAGTTCACTAAATCACACGGGGTTTCCGTRAGAGGCCATAACGTGTTCTGGGATGACCCCAAGTATCAACCAAGCTGGGTTCCAAATCTCCAGCCATCACAACTGGCGGCTGCCGCCAACAAGAGAATAAACTCCGTGATGAGACGATACTCGGGCCAAGTGATTTCATGGGACGTWGTGAATGAGAATCTGCATTTCAATTTCTTTGAAAGCAAGCTTGGTAAGACTGCTTCTTCAAAGTTCTACACRCAGGCTAGAGCKCTCGATAGAAATGCGGCTTTGTTCTTGAATGATTATAACACCATCGAAAGCCCTGGTGATACCAAGTCATCGCCTGATAGTTACTTGTCGAAAATCAGAGAGACTCGATCMGGGGGTTATCGTGGGACCTTATCGATCGGCTTAGAAGGTCATTTCAGTGGGCAAGTCAATATACCATACATGAGATCTGCCATTGATAAAGTTGCTAGTTCAAGACTGCCCATTTGGATCACTGAAGTAGATGTGGGGGCTGGATCGAATCAGGTATTTAGGGTTCAAACCTGCTCTTTTTATGACTTCAAACACAAAAATTATAAGACTTGCATGTTCTTATATGATCAACTAATCACAAGTAATGCATTTGTCAAAAGTAATGAAGCAAGATTTTTGCAATTAATTTGAATGACAGGCAGCAATTTTGGATCAAGTTCTAAGAGAAGCGCATGCACATCCAGCCGTGAATGGGATCATTGTTTGGTCAGCATGGAGTCCAAACGGCTGCTACAGAATGTGCTTAACCGATAGCAGTTTYCGGAACTTGCCCACCGGTGACGTCGTAGACAAGATTGTTCGCGAATTCTTTGGTGCAGTCGTTACAGCCACCACCGATGCTAACGGATTCTACGACACTTCTTTACTTCATGGAGATTACCAGCTTTCGTTTGCGGAATTTGATCGTTACCAGCCTCATGAAAAAGATTCGAATTCCACACGGATCTCTCATAATTTTAAGGTTGAAGCTTCTGATGACATGTTGCACATCAAAATCTTGGCTTAATAACTTCATGTTTGGATATTAATTGGTAGCCAAAGCATGAAAGAAAAGGTGACGATAAATGGAAGTGTTGAGTGATTTCAGAACAGAAGTACCCTCCTTAGATGCAAATATCCAACCTATTAGAATAACTAGACAAGGGCATTTTAGTCTTTTTTTCCTTTTATGCTTTTGTTTCTTTTTGATGAATTTCTTCAGAATCTAGTATTCTGCTCGACTGTCTGTATCTTTGTGAGAAAAGAAATATACAATAAATACATGATTCTCCATCTACTTGTGTCATTTCCGGTCATTGCTTAAAGATTAAGTTAAAAAAAACAGACATTGCTTAATGAGGGAGCAACAATAGACCGATCCAATTCTGCTTACACATCGACACAAGTTATACAGTTAGTCACCATCATTTGGGTTTTTTTTTTTTTTAAAGGGACGTTCAAAAATCAGATGAAAATCGAAAAAATAAATAAAATAGAGACAGAATCGGAAAATTAAAAATGTAAAAAAAGAAATTAAGAGGTGAGAGAGAGCCTATATATGTCTTCACTTAAGACGAGACAAAGGTGATGGACCCCGCCACCATTAAAGGCATAAAACGTCATAGCTCTGAAATGCACCAGCCGGGAATCGAACCCGGGTCTGTACCGTGGCAGGGTACTATTCTACCACTAGACCACTGGTGCTTCTGTGTTTGACTTGTCCTCTGTTAACTATATGATTCTTCCACAAAATAAAATTATGAAGAAAATGCTATTCTCTTAAAATATATATTATAGATTAATTTATCATCTAAAAAACATTAATTAAAGGTTTATCGCATAAAAAAAGATATATTTCGTACAAAACCGTCCCAATCTTTTATGAAGTTGCTATTATATTTAGGGATAAGTGATTTGCTTTGACCCAGTGGAGAACTCGGTTCACCTGACCTGAATGGGGTCGGGGATCCTCGGTAGACTCAAACCAGGGCCGGGGGATGTTACCCAAACCAGGTAGGGATGGTGATTTGCCCCGACCCGGGGGAACCCGATTCACCAGACCCGAATGGGGACGGGGATTCCCCGCTAAAATGGGTCCCGGGATCGGGGCCGGGGGATGTTACTCAAACCGGGGTTGGGGCCGGAGCCGTGGATCTCCAGTAGAGTCAAACCAATGAAAATTCTTCTTGGGGTTTGACCGGGGGGATTGATAGAGGTTTGACCGATGACGGGATGTTAATCTCCGTACCCGCAGGGAACAGGGCCGGAGTCGGGGGATGTTACTACAAACCGGGGTCGGGGCTAGGGATCCCCTGTAGAATCAAATTACAGGATATTATTTATGGGGTTTGACCGAGGACGAGATGTTAATCTCCGTACCCGCCTGGGACCGGGGCTGGGGGATGTTACTTCAAACCGGGGACGGGGATTACAAAACCCGCCCCATCCCCACCTCGTTGTCATGCCTAATTACATTTGTATTAAAATATATACATCATCTTAAATAAGATAAAAGTATAAAAATTCATGTCATGTTAAAAAATTTACAAATTTAAATAACAAAAATGTTTAAAATGACAAAGTAAAAAAATATTGAAAAGCCATTTTTTTTTGTTCAACAAATTCTAAAATAAAATAGTCGCTTTTTATTTTGAAAGAAACTAGATAAGCACCATAACAAAATGGGGTTGAAGTATACCACTAATTTCTAAGTGTCCTAACATACCACTTTATAAGAATTAATTTATAGAATCAAAAATTAAAATGTCTTATCTAAAGGCTTTGTAATAAGTTTATAAGACATTTGTAGGCATCATAACAAAGTTCTTAGAATGCTTTTAGTACAAAGTATCGCAACAGCAATTTTATAGGACATTTTTGGAAAATTGTCCTATAAACCCATCTTCTTATAGGACGTTTGTTTTTATAGAAGAACTTTTCAAATAGTGTCATATAAAAAATTGTTAATTGGACGCTCGTGCATTAAAAGTGTTCTAAAAAACTTCTTAAAGCGCTGAAAAGTGTTCTATAAACTTATTACAACGCTTTTACATATGACACTTCATTTTTGGTACTATAAATTAAGTTCTATAAAGTGATCTATTAGGACATTTGAATTTTTTGACGTTTTATAAACCCAATTTTATTGTAGTGAAGTGTTTATTGAGATGGATTTATAAGTTATTGGTTGTTTGTTTATCTCTTAATAGATTCATTAAGAGGCAAACTCTGAATCGTTAAGAGGTGAATCTTGTTTGGAAAAAAAAAATCTGTCTCTTAATGGTTCTAAAACCATCTGAATGATTTTGTGACCTAAGCCTCCCTTAACGCATTAATTTCATTGTAAACAATTATCTTTCATTTTGCACTATATCTGAATTTGTGTAACTAACTGCAGATAAACATAATCAAATACATGATAAACATCTCATTTTAAATATAAAAAATCTAAAATATAATTAGGATAATCATTGAGTCCGACCAGAATACTTAATTATTATCTTTATAAAATGTTATATTATTAAACCAAAAATAAATTATTTCGTTATTAAACTTAAATTAAATTATAGTAAAAAAATTAAATTAAAGAAATTACATAAAAATTGAGAACTTTTAAATAGTTGACTTGATATTAACATTGATATATTTTTTTCAAATTTTTATGATATCTTTAAATTTATATTTTATTCAAAAATAAAATCATTATTGTTTTCTTAAAAACATATAAAATTATATTATAACATCAACAGAGACAAATAAAAAAATAAAAAATTAAAATCAAAATGTGTCTCAATAAATTGGACGAATACCCTTCTGGTGTTAATAAATTGCTTTCTTTTGTATCTTAAATAAAGTAGCTGGTTTTTTATTAAACAATTAATTAATGGTATATGATACGGACATTGAGGCGAAAAACGTAAAGGGGCATTCCGAGAATCGAACTCGGGACCTCTCGCACCCGAAGCGAGAATCATACCACTAGACCAAATGCCCGATTGATATTTTCTCCAAATTTAATTCTTTTATACAAAGATAACCCAAATTTTGAAATACTTGTGCTTGTCTTTCTTAATTAACTATTGAAATTCTTTGCGACTTCATTTCTCTACATATCATTACATCTAAAACCAAATGGTCATCGGTCCGATGGTACACATGTCACCAGTAGAATCCAAACATATACGAACGACATGGCCCACAACCTCAAGACACGGCCGAAATCACATGTGATTCGACTGTTTTCTTATTTTCTTATATGGTTATTATTTGTATATGTATATGTATATGTATGTAAATATATATATACTTTTGGGGAAAAACCTTGTGTATACAAAAAATTTAGGCCAAAGTCATTGCTATACAAACTATTTCTGATCACGAATAAATAAGCCATGCCTGCTTCAACATGAAGGTTACAAACCACAAAATGCAATCAATTATCTATAATATCTACTGCGCAAACATGCTTCACAAAAAGCAACCAAATGGAGCTTTTCTTCAAGGCATGGAGTTCCTTAATAACTGTGAGGCTAATATAAGCAGCTCCACCATCTCAAAACCAGCTACAGACACAAAATCAACCTTTTCCACATCCTCCGTCTCAGCCGACCAACTTACAGGAAGAGAACTACCGAGGGCCGTTTTAAGAAGTTTTGCCTCTGTAACAACATTTTCAATTATTTCTGGTTCCCCGCCAACTGCGTCCGATTCTTTAACCTGACAATTTCACCCCCATCACTTCACTTCTCTAAAACAAGTTTCACAATTTAAACAATGTGCCAAATGCTTTTTTGAACTTTAGAATGGTGGAGGATAATCAATCACCTTAACAAGCGAGAGACGAAGTCTGTGAATTGAATTAGTTAGATGTCCCATGCTTTCCAAGCTCTCTTTAAGGGCTGCATACTCTATCTTCATTCTGCACAGCATAATATAAAACCAATAAAATACAAAACTTTTGAAAGGAAGAAAGAAAGATAGTCCACAAACCTTGCAAAATCCATGGTATTACTAGCGCTTTTCTTGCTGATATTGTGTGCATACTCTTGATGGGCCCCACTTTCACTTCCATGGGAACTAAGAGGGTGGTTAATCCACTGGCTAAAGTATGTCTTCTTCAGCAAACTTTTCAACCTTCCATCCTTATCATGGATCGTGCTTTTCTCTTCGCTGTCGATTAAAACCTTGCCTTGCTTTACATTGTCATTCAGTTTCCTATAGGAGTGCAACCATACCCATGTCACAAACAATTTCAAGCTAGATAACGAGTCTGCTTTTGAAAAGCTGTAGAATTTTTAAACGATGCTAGCGCTCCCCAAAATGCATACAGGCTTATTTGTGATTGAATTGATACAACCTCGAAAGTAAAATCAATAAAGCGTTTTCCAACAATAATTATCGGAGCAGACTAACAAAGTTATTCAAAAGAAATCATGAATAGAAGGAGTGAAGCCTGTCAAATGGTTGAAATACAATAATAGTTTAAAAATAAAAAAGAATAAACATACTCCTGTAATAGATAGTAATCCTGCTTCAGTTGTGCCAACTCCATAAGGGCAACCACCTTTTCATTTGTCACCTATTGAAAATTGTACTTGCTTATCATATCGTGGATGCAAAATAATATGTAATTTATTCAAAAAAATGCAACTTATAGTTAATCAAAAAAAAATACACAACATTACGAGCCATTGTTACTATCGCAAAGTTTTGGGAAGTTAAAGACAAAGGTATATCAAGCAAGTAAAAATACCATTACATTGAACTATTGAACTAAACTGAATGAGCATATATAAGAAATTTTACTTGTATTAGGTTTTTTTGTAGCTCCTCCAGTTTGGTCTGAAGAGCTGCATTTACATTGCTCTCTAACAAATATCTCTCTTCTTCCTGTGATAGAAGCAACAATGCTGCAACCTGAAAGTTCAATTAAAAGTATTTCATGAAATTCCAGCTGCACCTTGTTCCGGTTTCAAGAAACTTAAAGAAGTGCACAGGTTGTGGATTATTTTGCAGCCAACTCAAGTGATACATCTAACCACGTAGATTAATCAATCAATCTATGGCCCCTTCGTTTTTGACCGTTATGAACCTTTTTTTATGAAAGGGCTGGAGATTTTGAAGTTGAACATCACTTGACAGGCTCACATAAATTTTGTATATAAAAAACGAAAACAAACCTTCTCTTGCAATGCCTGGGCAAGAGGTTCAGAAGCATTCTCTGTTCCAGAACTACAAGTTTCTTGCAAGACAGAAACGTTTTCCTACAAAATATGTAAAACAGAGAACCATGAAATGCAGACCAGCATAGCGCAATCTTCTGAAGAACATGAAGAATGAGTAGCAATTGCTTTACATATCCCTTGCAAACTTAATTTCATAACAAGTACATACATAGAAGTTTAGCCACTGAAACAGATCCAAGAGTAACTATGGTTTACAAACACACTGTCATCTATGTTCTTCAAAATAGAACTATAAAGAGAACTCACACACACATATATACACAGACCTTTTCTTTTAACATCTGAGCAAAGGATTCTGAACCATTCCCAGCTCCAGAAATGGAAGTGCTTGGTAAGCCAGAGACATTTTCCTGCAAGATGTATATGTACACATATGTCCATGCCAAAACAAGAAATATTCTTTCATTTTCCTTTGGATTTTATATTTGTTTTCCTTATAAAAAGCAACTCTAAACAAGAAAAATTGGCAGAGGATACTCATATACCTTTGTAATACCATCTGAGTTGGCGTCAGGGCTAATATGTACATCACGGCAATCAACGTCTGGCAATTGCACATCTCTCTTAGGTAACAAATGGTTAAGTTCTTCATTCATACAAAGTTGTCTCATTTTTTCATTTATATCATTAACAACTGATTTAAACTGAGAAGATTCCTCCTCAAGCAAATTCACGATGTCGAGCCTGTGCTGAGAATGGAAACTATGTAATCCTGATATGTCCTTCTTCATCTTTTCTTCCAAACAGATCTGTATTCAAGTAAAAGAAGTCATGGTATGCCTTTCAAGAAAAAGTCACGGAATCATCAAGAATTTAAGCATCATAGCTTAGTTATCAATGAAAATTCTATCTCACGTTCTTGTTTTTCAAATCACGGACCATCTTCTTCAAATGTTTTTCGATCTCCATTCCCTGTTTGCAAAAAGAACCAAAATTCACAAAGGAGCACCAGAAGGTAATATTCTTGCATCGCTAAAATGTGTAGATAAAATGGACCAGAAACTAAGATAATACCATCTGCAGCTTGCTACGAAGATTAATTATAGATATTCTCAATGCCTCCACTTCTTCCTCCAGCGAAGTCTGTCTGAATCAAAAGTCAATACAGTTGCATTTGCATATAGAATCAAAGAAATCTGGAATATGATGTCAAAACATGACCAACTAGATACAACAATCCTTCCATGCTCACAGGCATTATGGCAACACAATATGTAACAAACGCAATAGCAAACTGTACTTGAAGTCGTATACTAAAATGGAGCCAGGCAATGGTAACCTGAACATCATCCTCAGACTACCTGAGTAGTTGCTTGTGCATAAGAAGGGCACCATGCACATATAAGCATGCTTATATGTTACTACGTAGATTTTGGTGACTACTCAAAGTACACAAACAGTAAGAGATTGGAGAATTACCGAGGAAACAACCAATAAAAGGAAGTGGAAAACTATGAGTCACAAGATGTCACTAGTTTCTTGTGCATAACAAGGGGACTGAGTGCACGGTAAGAGATTTGAGAATTACCAAGAAAAATCAACAGCCATAATTGGGAAATATGAATCACAAGATGCACTGCCTTCCACCTGATATTGGTCTGTAACTAATAAATTGAGAGGGCTGAAAAGAACAAGACCTATGGCTCGACCTATTAGCCTTTCATATAAAAAATTTGCATTACTGTTGTGTGTTAATGTTGGTCTTATATATCCTTCTCGATTATCAGCCAAGTCATTTCTTTGAGATACAGATATTAAGCCAGGTTAACTATCAATCACACACTTTATTTGCTCAATGAAGCATAATCAACTTCACCATGACATAGAAATGGAAGAAAGAATTTATGAGTACCACTTTATGCACTATTTCACTATAAAAAAATTGAGAAATCATGATCAGCAATGCAACTTCATCAGAGATGGAGAATTCTTTTTATTAGTTAGCCGCTGGTTATAGAACTTACAATGTAGTCTGTGGTGGGTGATTCCCCTTGACCAGCGAAAGTCCACATGTCTTCTGAATCGTTCAAAAGGGAAGAACACCTATCTTCCCAACCAATATCATAATATTCATTCAAAGAATGTTGTCTGATGTCATAGAACTTAGTGATCACCTGTAACGAGTAAAATATCATTTTCCTATTAGTAGGAGAACCTAGGTTTGCAGAAAACCATAATCACGCAAATCAGTCATATGTTAAACAAAGAAAATAATAAATAATAAAATACCACTCCGTCCGACCAAGTACTTTATAAAGATAGTCACTAGGAAATATAAGTTATCACGAGTCATATTTGAAGTCCTCGTTTTAATTAGATAGCATGTCATGGCATGAATATATGAAGAGAGTTCGTGCACTTCATATGAACGCCAATAAATTAATTTTAATGTCAGCCCCATCCAAAGAGTGTGTATCTATAATGAAAACAAAAAAAAACGCAAAGAGTCGTATAATCGTATATGTAAGGTAACAATGCAGGTTTGTAATTTTACACAGTTTATAAACGTGCATGGATTTGATAGGTATCTATTTCACTTAACATATTTTTAAGGGTACAGCAGCATGATTTCATGCAAACAGCAAAAGATATTGTAGCCAACATAACTACCTCTTTGAATATTTCATTCTCCTTCCGTAGCTTTTCTAGATCAGTCTGAAGCATAGCTGAAAGTTTCTTTTCTTCAAGAACAACCAACCTGAGTTCTTCTATCCTGGTCCACCAAATTAATGAGCATTTTGCAATAAAAAGAAGGCATGCTTCTAACAGGGTATCATTTACTAGACTAGCTACTCAACATAATAACTGCCGACAATGTAAAGCCAGAATGAAAAGGACAGAAATACGTAGCAAATATGTGAATACAAGAGTTAATATCAGAGGTGGTCTCATGCTCATGTGTCTAGGAATTCATATTGTCAGGCAATATGCATGGCAATAACCGCCACTGAGGTGAAGTTCAGGAGAGCTTTCAGTAGTGTGATCATATAAGCATGACTAGATACGTCATACGTTATAAATACCCTTCTAAGATATGGTTTTCCCATACCTCGAGACATACTTTGGCTACTGTGAAGATTGTGGTACCAATATCATCTCCAGCCTCCATTTCTCATTCCTAACAACCTGCCGTCTACTTAGAAAAGGCTTCAGATGGTCAGACCCACAAGGAAGGGTGTGGTTTATTCCATAGCCTACTTAAGCTCAATAAAGAGAGCCTTTACTTGTAAGCTATTTAAGGGGGGTTACTTTACAATGTGTCATATACTTGTCTATAAAGGGTTGCCACATGAATCTTTTGTGAACCCTGTATTCGCTGCATATGTCTGTTTACAATCCTTTATCCCCTATTTCATGTACATCGGTGTTAGGTAGGCCCAGGGATCACTGATTGGTCGAACGAACCCAGGTCAGTTTACAGTAGCATTATAATCTAAATGCTTACTTTTTTGGATTTAATCAGCATTACTGTACCTTAACTTGTAAAATTCTCTCCAGTGGCATTTCTATCCCAACTACTTGAAATGGGTTACATAAAAACTTTAGGGGAAAGTCCAAAAAACCCAACAAACTTTCTTATTTTGAATGGTTTAGTCCTTAAACTATTTTTTAATGAGAAAACCATTAAACTTTTTCATTTTGAATGATCAAGTCCCTGAACTATTTTCTTTGAATGAAAAAACCATTAAACTTTCACATATTGAATGATTAAGACCTGAAATTTTTCTAACAATAAATAAACCATCGAACTTTTACTCGATCGGTTAGTGTAACTTTTTTTGGGTTAAAAGGATGTAGGTAACCAATTTTTAAAAGTGAGATGGTTTATTTATTAAAAAAATATCCAGGGACTTAAGCAATCAAATGAAAAGGTTTAATGGTTTTTTCATTCAAAAAGAGAAAGTTTAATGACCTTTTCATTCAAAAAAATAGTTCAGAGACTTAATCATTCAAAATTAAAAAGTTTAATGGTTTTTTCATTCAAAAAAATAGTTTAAGGATTACACCATTCAAAATGAAAAAGTTTATTGGGTTTTTTTAACTATTCCCAAACTTTAATACACAGACACCAGAGAACAAATATAAAGGTAATGCCTTCCCAAACAAAAAATACTTACCTTTCTTGCATAATGTCAAACTTTTGTGATGCAAGTTCCTCTTTCTCCTTGGCTTTTTCAGCCTATCAACAACCATATAGACATTCTAAATTAAAGGATTCAGTGCTGGAAAGCACTCAAAATACATTAAAGAGTAATAGCTTAAGAAATTAATGTATTGATTTTAATTATTTAAATTGAATATACTGTTATGAAACCCTGTGTGTCATATGCCTTGGAGACTACTACACTTCCAGTCAGTTACAGCCCTCTTAAGGATGAACCCCCATGGGAAAACATCCCTTCTGTGTGAGAAGCACATGTCTTGGTATTTCAATACGCCAACCTCACCTTCAACTCTGGCAGCACCTTCCTTACTCTCAAAGCCCCAATGGCAGTTATCTCAATTACACTGGCAACCTGGCAGCTGTCATCACTTCAATAGATCCCTTTGATTTTGTTTTATAGGGTTTTCGGAAAATGGTAAAATAGGAACATTAATTAATTTTTGAACTAGTCTATGAAGTTATCAAAAACAAGGAAAAAACCCCATAGAAAAAGAACTCTTATTAATAATTTTCATAAACTAATCAACCAGATTGGGCATCGTGAGCAGTTTATTATTTCTTGAGTAACCATGTTCAGAAAATGCAGTGCTCAATAGACTACACCTCCATCATTGCATTATCACGCTCAGAAAATGCAGTAGCAACACAGCCTTGGAAAAACTTGATCTGCTTCTCTGCTTCCATGCTCTGCGAAAGATAATCACAATAAGCATCATCAGTATTAACCTCACCAGAACAATTTGACATGTATTCAACTAACTTCTGGTCGCCTAACTGAAGACTAGAAAGGTAAGGGACCAATAACAGGGTTAAAATATAAATCAACAGCTTAATGTTGGAATGAGAATGGTGAAAGAAGCACACATCCACTACCTGAAGTTACTATCACAAAATTGTCACTTGCATATATAGATTAAAGAGACAAAAAGGAAAATTCAGCAGAGTGACCTGACTGGCATCAATTATAACAGAGGACAGCAATAATTATCAAGACTAATATGACCACATTAGCATCTTGAATAGCATTAATTAATTAGTTAATCAATTCTAATCATTGTAGTTGGTAATATCACTACATTAAGTTTTGAATCGATTTCCAAAAAAACTTTGAAAATTGCATGGAGAAGCTATTCGAATCACTTCACAATAATAGATCAAACAGTTCAGCTGAGCTGGGAAGCATGAAACAGTTGAACATTTCAACTCTTTCACATGGTAGATGAACTCTGCCAGAATTCATTTTCATAAAGTGGGTAAAGACTATTCATGGACCTCATCCATGACCTTAACTTCATACACTCTTCCAAACTATGATAACCTGTGAGACTGAAATCTAATAAAGCACCAAGTCTTTTAAACTCTTAAATACTTTTACTTTCATGCAAGTTATCACAGAATGCTTAAGATAATTGACATTATATGTTTAATTAACAAAAAGAGTTGGTTACTTTTCTGAACATTCAAACATATATTCTCATAAAACCTCATGCTTGCCTTCTATTCTTAGGTTCTCGCCGCCTGACATTAGCATCAAATAAATCTGTACAGATATTTGGAGAGAGAGAGAGAGAGAGAGAGACCTTGGAGAGCTCTGCAGCATGTAGATCTGCCAACTGGTTCTGCAGAAAGAACTAAGTGTGTTAATAATGATAGATCTGGAATTTTCCAAGAAACATTTATAGAATGACAATGGGCCTCACTTTGATACGGTAAGACTCTGAAAGCTCTTCTTGGAGATTTACATTCTCTCGTAGGCAAGCAGTTAACTTCTTTTTCAAGTCAGCTATCTCCTGCTCCAGACCGGCTGTCCTAATTGGGTATTAATATCAATGCTAATTAACTCTTGAAAATGTACAGATAAACAATAATGATTGTTGAAAAGAGAAACTGTACATTTCTCAAATAATGGCGTACCTTTGAAAATGCATCCTGGTAGCAACACCAGCATAACTAGGTCCAGCATGTTGCATACACATTTGCTCGATATCATTACGTAGCTCATCACGCTCTATAAAACAAAAATGACAAAAAAAAATCAACCACTTATTTCTGTTTTGCCTTGTAGAAGTAAAAGGCCACCATTATTTAACTAAATTTCATGTTAGAAATACTTATTACAAGATTTACTGATGAAACTAGCAATGGATGTGCTAATATCATGCCATTTTGGTTTATTTCTAAATTCTGCTCCTCTGTCCCCAAAAAGAGACATTTACACATATTCACTACAAAGCTAATACTTTTCAACACTTATATGACTTTCCTAAATAAGAAAAAAGGGTGGCCCGTCAATTCGTATAATGAATACCAGCTGTTAAAAGGGTTGGTGATAAATCACTAAGAAAATACAAATCAGTTTCTTATTTGATTCGACTTCAAAAACCTAAAGAGGTCTGGTCTCTCTTTTCATAGGGAGGGTAACGATAACATAAAGGTGGTGAACCAAGTGAACAATGTCTACAACAATGAAACAATAGAATCACAATACACACCGCGCTCCAACAGTTCAATGCGAGAAAGCAAGGCGGCACGATCTTCTAACTCTTCATCCATGGCTGCAGATTCCTAAAACACGAACTAAAATAAAATAATCAACATCGGGAATACAAAAACAGTAAGCAGATTCAAAGAAACCCCCACCCCTAATCACCATATATATAAACTTTCTCCAAAAAACCTACACAAATTCAAGCAAGAATTCTTAATTTTTTTTAAATAACTCTATATCAAAAATAATTAACAGCGTATCCAGTGAGTATTAATGAAGGCTTTCAAGACCTACGTCAGAATTACAGCGCAGTTGAACCGAATAATTCAAAATAATAGCAGAGAGCTGTTAGCAGTAAAATCCAAACTAGGTCAAACAATAACATATCGTTTCTAACATGATGAGATGTGATGTGATGAGGAAATTAGGGAAAATGAGAGCGAATAAAGGTACCTGGGAGGAAATATGTAAATGTAAGCCCTGATAAACAGAAGAAACTACAGAGAAGGACGATGAAGAAGAAAGGGTTTCTTGTTCTTTTTGGGCGAGGGGGGGTTTTAATCATTGGACGTTAAAATAGTTTATACTCTACCCAAAAATTATCGCCTATTTTTTTTTTTTTATCTCCGTTTCTCTGGATAAATGGGTGTTATTGTTTAATTTTTTTTTTATCTGAATAAACAGTCTAAATAACATAAATGATCGATTTACCTTTTAATATTAATTATTTGAACATCAAAACAAAAAATCATAAAGAGATCGAATATGGGGTGTCTGATACGGGAATGAGGCGGTGCTTTAAATAAGATGTAGGGATGTTATTTTTGTGGCTGAATGGGGACAACACATCATTTCTATTTGTGCGATTAAGTCATGTTTGTGCAAATAAGCCGTAAGTAAACAACTCAAATGAGTTGTGCGAATAAGCCAGATAGACCAATAAGCCTAATTGAGTCGTAAGTAAACAGCCCTCTAGTCTTGTATATATTTTCATTTTATCTTTACATAGGTTATCGGATAATTTCTTTAGTAGTTTGTAAGCGCTTTTATCTGATAAATGTTAATGAGGATAACAGTATTATCTCTCACTTAGCAAATAAAAATCTCGATTATTATTTCTTTTTTTTTTCTCCATAAAATATATTTTGGGTTTCATTTACTTTGTATCTTGTTATATTAAATTTTCCCTCTTATGAAATGGTTATAATTTCTAGACTTTGAAATTTTATCAATTGATAAATCTTACGAAATTAAGCAACTTAAAAAACCATTTGGATTCAATTTACGAATCAAGAGTTGTGACCTTATGAAGTTTACCATGAAAAATGATACCAAAATAATGATGGAGGGATAAATTATTGTATTAGATTATGTTATATGGTATATTCATCAATAAATATATTGAATCTGAAAGAGAGTACTTGGGTTCTCCCAATAACTAAAAAGTGTAGCATGTCTGAATCTAAATGGGGTTCGCGGTGGTGGAGGGACTGGATCGGAAAAAAGAGGGATTCTAGTTGTAAGATATCTAATGAAACCGTCGTTGGAATTGAGATCTTATTCAAAGAGAAAGATCTCAAATATCTGGAGTTTTTCTTTGTATATTATAGGGATGATCCGATMCGCAAGGACCATGATTGGGAATTGTTTGATCGTCTTTCTCTGAGGAAGAGGCAAAATAGAATCAACTTGAATTCGGGACCATTATTCTAGATTGCCTTGAATTCATATAACGTATATATGCTTAATAGATGCATTTGTTTTATGAAACGTCAAATAGTATATATTCATCAATGAATATGAACTATATAAAATTTATAAGCATATTGTATTTTGTTGATAAATATATTCATTAGTAAATATATACTACATAAAATACATTAATAAATAGTATTTTTGTTCATGGGTATATTCATCAATGAATATACACTACCTGAAATTCATATAATGTATATTCATCAATAAATATACACTTAATGTATACATTATTGATGAAATGTCTAACAATGTATATTCATCAAGAAACATACTATATATTGAATTCGTTAATGTATTGTATTTTGCAAGTGTCTATATTATCGATAAAATATATAAATTCACGAGTATATAAAATCATGTCCGCAAATATATTCATAAATGATTAAATGAATGTATAGTGCCTGAAATTCCAATATTCATTAATGAATATATATATATATATATATATATATATATATTATACAAAGTTTTGATCATTTATGTTGAATCTAGATACATCACAACCTCACGAGGAGTACATATAAGAAATAGAGAGAGCCAAAAAAAAAAGATGACATATATATATGAAAGAAAGAGCGCATAAAACACATGACGAATGGTGCTTGATAAATCGCTCAACAACAACGAGGACTCTATTATCGATATAAAACACACACGGGATGATTGATGCAAATTTCATAGTTCGGTTTTGTGGAAGCAAACCCAAGGAGTTCTTCATTGCTTTGGATAATCTTCTTGCATGTAAGGGCGGATTCAGTCAAGGGTGGTGCCTAATTGGTTTGAGTTTGACTCCAAATGTCAAAAGTACCAGGAGATTTCAGGTTCAAATCCAATGAGGAATAAAAATCCTCTTGTGGCCAAGGAGGTTCAAGTGCGGTGACTCCGGGCTATCTGCAAAGCAAGTGGTCGTCCTGAGATTAATCAGCTCGCATAGCGGGTTGAATATTCAGGTTAATTAAAAAAAATAAAAAACCCATGTATGTTCGTTTTTTTTTTTATAATTAATTTTTGTTTTCATTTTATATTATGTTAATTGTTTTGTACCTCCATGTTAGCTATAGAGCAAAGTATCAAATGTACAGATTGTTTATTGGGTTGCATAACTATTTTGGTAAAATTGAATGATAAATTAGTTAATAAATGTAAAATGACCTTAAAATAAATTATAAAGAAATTAGGTAATTCTTATATTATATTATATAATATAATTAAAATAAAGTATTACTGAAATAAATTATTTAAACCTTTTATTGATTTTTATATATACAAAATAGAAAAAATATAATTTTATTCCTATAAAACTTATAAAAATATTTTTAACAATTATTTTATTTTTTTAATTAATTCTATTGAATAATAATAACAACAACAAGATAAATCAAGTGATGAATATTAATAGGACTAAAAAATAATCAAAACGATTACTAATAAATCAACATTATTTAATAATAAAATAATACGGTTAATAATAATATAATTAAATATTTATAAAATATTAACAGAATGTGAATTATTGTAATTAATATTTAATAATGATATTTTTAAACTAATAAATAATAAGATTTATTAAATTAGTATTAGGTAAAATATTAAAGGTATAGTTATAAAAATTGGAAAAAAGCACTCCTAAAGTTCATTAAAACGTTACTCCAAATAATGTTCCAATAAGTTAGTTTATCAATCAATTTTCTATCCATCCAAAAGAAATTTTGTATTAACTTAAAAGATAAGTTGGTTTATAGTTGTCAAATATAGTCTAAGGGGCCGTTTACCAAACACTTGTCCGGTAAGTATTTATCGGTAAAATTCAACACTACCATTTACTTGCCGTATAAGATTTTTAGCCCACCAAAACGACATTGTATGAAATAATTTACCCGGTAAGCACTTAACGTGGTAAGAGTCGTCGTCTTCACTTACCGAGTAAGACTGATGGTCGTTGTCTCGTTCTTACCGGGTAAGTTATTGATCCTTACCATATTCATGAGATAAGGTATATATGACTTGATAAGCGCTTACCCAGGCAAGCGTTTGATAAACGGCCCCTAAGTTGATTATCGGGTTTAAAGAGGTTTATTAGAGGGAAAATAGTATCCTAACATTGACCGATACTATTGCTCACAGGAATAAAATAGATGAAAATCATAAGTAGAAGAATCTCGTAAAACTTGTGGAGACATTTGATTCTTCATCGGTATTTATAGAAGTGGCACTTTGTCAGCGACAGTATTCTATCGCTAATTTTACTTTAACATTTGCAATAATCTGATAAGCATAGAGGATTGTGGAAGTAGAGATAAAAAGTGTTTAAAAGAGAAAGGGTGCTCAAATCACATTCTTACTTCCTTTTGAATTAAAGAATCATTTTAATATAAGTTGTACGATTAAATAAGTTGGACGATTAAAAATGATTTCATTGTATTTTAAATGTTGTGACTCTCATATGAACTTAGACTTTAGATATGCAAGCACATTTGTCAATTGTATGAAATGGTTGGTTTCTAGTGAGAAGAGAAGTAAGAAAACGTAAAATAGATCTACACCCTTGGATCAATTCTAATTGAATGTCAATACTAATGAGGTGCACCAATATGAACTAGGTCAATTCCCTTCTAAAGGCAATTCATGGGTGGATATGAAATTGAAAATAATTAAGAGTTCAGATTTGTTGTTACGCTTCTCATCATAATTTCTCTTCTTAGACGATCATTCATCTTGTATGAATTAATAAGGTTTTCAACTTGTATTTTGATTGATAGATTTTCTAGATGGATTTTTTTATATAGAGGGGGGAGGCCCCTCCAATCAAGAAAAAATTATTAAAACATATTTTTTTAAAAGGCAGGAAAATAAACCAAGGCCAGCACTCGGGAAAAAGCTAAAACGAAGCAACCACTAGAAAGGAGCAAAACTCAAAACAGAGAAGAGATGAGGAAATAATAGAGGAGAAAAGAGAAGGGAAGGACCAACCACTAGGGAAGGTTCCGAACAAGCCTAGCCTGGACAACATTCAGGGAAGGATTAAGGGTCAGACTAAGGAGCCTAGACTGGACATCATCATAGATGGTTTTGATCACCATGTCTTAAGATCTTCTCTTATTTTTGAAGATGCTATCATTTCTCTCCTACCAAACATGTTTGACAGTTCCATCAATCACTAATTTGCGAATAATATACTAGATGGTCTTGTCTTTGATGGCTTGTTGGAAGTCTCTAATGACATTCCAGTTATCCGAAATCGTAGGGAGGTTCAGCTTAGGCTTAAGGCCATTCTAAACTTGATTAGAAAACGAGTACTCAAATAAGAGATGTTGATGGGAGTCAGGCCTGTTATGGCAAAACCACACGAAATATTAGGATTGGTTTCCAAGAATTAAGTTTATCATGTGTCTTAAGATGTTGCCTCATTACAACCAAATAAGGAAAGCATGTCTTGGAATATTCTGCGAGAACCAGACCATGTGGCGCCACTAGGTTTCAGGTTCATGAGGACAAATGAAGAGCCATACGTCATGAACCCCGAAAGGGGTAATATTGTCATCCCTTTTTCTCCAAGGGAGCTTATTATGGACAGAAGGGGAAATGACATGGGGGAGAATCACAAAGAAAGGGATTGGAGCTATCCCACATTTGAGGGCAGGTCCAACCACTATTACAGATGATATCCTAAACTCGAGCACCAAGGGAGAGCTTCGCATTTAGGATATTATGAGGGGTAATAAGTCGATGTAGATGGCCAACGAGATGTCAATTATCAAACTAGACAGACGTGGAAGTGCCATTGCCAATGTCGAAGACCACAAAGTCTCTTATCTTTTTCTGCATACCCATGATATTTCTCCAACCCCAACCAACATCATTGTGGATCAGGGCGTCCCAAAATAAATTTACGATATTTAAGCCTGTAGGAGTGGATCCATTTAATCCAGATAGAATCCTTTTTGGAAAGGATTCTCCACAAGTGGGAGGCCATAAAGGCAAGATTACAAGTGGCAAGACTTTTGATGCCTAGTCCGCTTTGGAATTTAGGTAAGCACACGGTCTTCTAAGGGACCTTGGTTTTTCCTCTTTTAAGCTTATTGTGGCACCAAAGAAAACCTCTCATGAGCTTTTCATTGTCCTTGGTGATAGAGATGGGACAGACAAAGATAGAATCCCAATAGATTGCATCGAGAACAGGACCAAGAGAATAAGCTGGAGCCTATCGATGAAAAAGGGATTTATCATGCCAATCATTCAGCCTAGCTTTGACCTCATCGATAAGACACTTGCAGTTATTGTGATAAAGACGAGTAGTGATGAGAGGGACCCCAAGGTAGTAAACTGGAAGAGAACCTTCATGAAACTCACTAATGGTGTGGATGACGTTCCGGGTATGTTGACCGATATTGCAATAAAATGGTTCACTTTTAGCTTAACTCGGGTGAAGGCCAAATACAACATAAAACTCATCCAACGAATCTTTGATAACACAGACAAACTCGTTATTGCCATGACAAAAAATGATAAGGTTATCGGCAAAGCAAAGGTGAGGGATTTCCTGCTCCTTCTCATAGTTCTAGTGATAGGTAAATGTACCTATCTCCTAGATTTTCCTTTTGATCATGAGGTTGTGGACCTCCATGATCAGCATGATCAGAGTGAAAAGGTAGGAAGAAAGGAGGTCCACTTGCCTCAGACCCCAACTTCCTTTGAAGTAGTCGTGTAAGTTTCCATTTATACTGACCGAGTAGGAGGCAATGGAGACACACGTCATGATCCAATCAATCATAGTCAGAGGGAAGCCCAAACCAAAAAGGGGGTATGGATAAATGCAAATCAACAGTATCATAAGCCTTTTAAATATCAACTTTAAAACCACACAAGAAAGACCCCACTGTTTATGATTAGTCGCGCATAAGCTCTTAGACAAGAAGGATATTGTCCGTGATGAGCCGACCAGGGATAAAAGCAGATTAATTTTCGTTGACCAAAGGGGGGAAATGGTCTTTTATACGTTTCGATATAATCTTGCTTATACATTTATATAAGACATTGCATCAAGCATTGAGGTAAAAGTCAATGACCTTAGAGGGGGCCAACGACTTAGGAATGAGGGCAAGAATGGTTCTATTAAGGGACTTTAATAATTTTCCGAACGAGAAAAACTCGCAGATAGCCAAACATGCATCATTTCCAACAAAGTCCCAGTTAGATTTAAAGAATTTGGCAGTGAAATAATCTGGCCCAGGGACTTGTCATCCCCAATTTGAAAAAGAGCTTGTTTTATCTCGGAATCCAATAGAGGGTTGACCATCATGCTAGTATGATCAATAGTGAGCTTCCTAGAAAACGTGGTGACCAGGTCGCAGATGGGAAAAGTGAAGTGAGGAATTCCCCTGTCAAAATGAGAAACGAAAAGATTTGGGACATCTTCACTATCAACCCAATTGCCGTCAGCATTTGAATGGAATCAATATGATTTTGTTGTTAGGGGTCTTAACAAATTTTTATGGAAGAAAGCAACATTTTTATCTCCTTCACAAAGCCAGTCAATTTTGGCTTTTTGCTTCAGAAACCGCTCCTAATCGAGATAAGCACTGTTGTAAAGTACCCAAAGTATTCCTTTTGGAGGGCCTCATTTTTAAGGTCCTTATCATGAGCAATTTTAATCCTGTTAAGCTCAAGCCTAAGATTGGAGACCTTCGGAAAAAATTTCCCTGGTCTTTAAGAAACTTACAAATGAGGCTTTTGAGGAGTTTCAGATTTTTAGAGATCTTATGCATCTCATAATCAGACAAATTTGGGTTCCAACTGGAACCAACAACATATTTGAAGCCCTCTTTATGAGTGAGGAAGTTAGGAAAATTGAAGGTTTGGTCTTACAGGATAAGCTAGATGAGATGGTCACAACCGCATGGCTATGATATGAGGACCGATAAGGATAAAAGATGATAGAAGCAGACAATAAGTGAGAGGTGGCCTGAGAATTTCCAAGAACACAGTCAATCTATTTGAGGAGACTGGTTGTGCCGATTAGGTTCTTAGACCACGTAAAGAAAAGACCACTGAAATTGATATCTTCCACCTCAACGTGACGAACACAATCGCAGAAGTCATTCATACCTCGAGTGATCCCTAACACGCTAGAGGTGCTATCTTTAGAGTCAAGAGCAACATTAAGATCACTCATGATGAACCATGAAGAGTAGTTAACCACCTGCTTTTGGGCTTTAAGGGAAGTCCACAACTGGCACCCTGTGATATGATAATTGTGGACTGCACCCCTTCCGAATCCAAACCGTCAACATCCCTTGGGCTTGGCAGCTTTCTCATGAGGCCCAAAATCAAAATTCCTATTAAGAGAGCCCACCAATTTGTTTATTAATCATAATGGACTGCTCCACTATCTCAAAACAAAGGGCCCAAAAGATTTTGAGAAAGGAATGTGGATGACTCCATCTTATGTACCTCACGTGGCCCATCAACTGAATTTTAAGAAGGCAGTAAAAACCCATTTCATATTGAAATCTTTTAAGTTTTCTTCAATAGATTATTTAAAATGAAGATATTTGATATTTTGTACAAACTCTTCGATTTAGAAGGTCTAAAATGGGGAATTTGTCGGAAAAAGAGTGAAATTTCCAAATTTTTAATAATTCTCAAAGATAATTATCATAAAAAAGAATTTTTTTTTTATTATATCATCATTAATTAAAAAAACTTTTGAAATTAATAGTTGGAAAATAGAATTAATGTTTTAATAGACATATGATATATCACTAATATAATTAATATTGTAACCTTCGAAATAAAAAACGAAGTTAATGGTTGGAAAAGAAGATTAATACTTTATTAAATATATAAAATGTTTTTAATATTATAGTTTTAAAAAAAAAAAAAACTGCTGAAAAATCTTTTTAAAAAAATTTGATGAAGACTTTAAAAATCTATTGAGATGTTCTTACATCATTTTATGGATTTTGAAAAATATCTGCAAAGCAGATGATCGTTTTGGGATTAGACGGCTCACATATCCAGGTTATTCAAAAAAAATGGTGAACAAAAAAGATACAATCGATGCATTTAACATAAAAACAACAATTCAAAAGATATGCAAAAACGAACAACTCCCGATTCACAAATAAGAAAGCAGTAGGTACAAAATCATATGCAACATATAAATAAATATCCAAATGTAGCCCACAAAGTCTCCTTCTAATTGTGACCCCCAAAATGAAACCTTCATCAACTTGTACACCCATCTAACCATCCCCACTTCCTTCAAAAGCATGCATCCAACAGACAACAGCAACACAGGGCAGCCAAACTGCACACAATCACCATTCACAACACCTCAAAGTCAACACCAAATCCATAAGAATCTACCGGAATCAGATCAAACCATGCGTTGAGAATGTAAACAGTAAATCTTGATGTTGATATGTTCGAACAGGAAAGTACTACGTAAGGATGCATTTAGCTTTCCCTTTTCATAACCGATAGTAGGCCATCGTTGTCGTCCCAAAAGAGAATATGCCTTTGCTTTTCAAGAACGCACGCTTACAAATAAAGATTTTCCGTACCAAGAAAGAACATCTATAAAAGCATTCGATATAGAAAAAACGTGCACGGGTCATGTTCGTTTGCCACCGATATGAATAAAAAAGGTACCTTTTTTATCCCCACCAATAAAAAGGGGTGAAATTTTCACGACAAGAATACGAAATAAGATTCAACCTAAAACATGTCACATCGATGATGAATGTATTTTAAGATTACCGGATAATTCGATAGGTATTTGTCGTATATAAATATTATATATTAAATAATTTTTCATATATATATATATATATATATATATATATAAATTGATATAGAGTCTAGAATAGTCTTTTTGCCCTTCTCATCAAATTGTTCAACAGAAGAACACATGATTTTCTAGCAGTTTTTTGATTTGATACCTAAAAATCATGATCTTCCCTAAAAATCAGCTAAACCTAACAAAATCAAAACTTCCCCAAACAAAGTAAATTACCAAAACACCCCTGAAATATCAAAAACCCTGAATCGATTTCAAACCCTTCTCTACCGATCATGTATAACTACTGAAATCAAGCATTCTAGATCCGATCTTTATTCTATCTCAATTCACAATCGCATGCATAAATCGAGGAAGAAAAAGAGTAATTACCAGCCTTCCATGAAACCAGCACTTTGTTTTTGCTGTTGAGGAGGGGGAGCACCGTACTGAGGAGGGTACCCCTGTTGAGGATACCCTTGCGGCGGAGGGTATCCCTGTTGCGGTGGATACCCAGGTGGCGGATAAGCATCTTTCGGATACCCTTCCGGTGGATAACCTACAAGAATCAAACAACATTCCTTAATTCACTAACCAAATTCTCAAAATCCCCGACAAGATCTAAACCAAATTGAACGAAAAACAAACCTTGTGGAGGAGGAGCACCAACTGGGGGCTGCTGGCCTTGATTGTAATAACTCATGACGATGATGATGTTCTTATGGAGGAGCTTGCTTTGTTGAAATTGAGTGGGCGATTATGGAGGAAGTGGGGGGTTTTTATAAAGTGGGAATGGGGAATTGTATTGGGAAAAGGTTTTATAAAGAAGTATGGAGTTACTGGGTGTACGTCACGCACTGGCGGTTCGAAAGGCGAGTCAGTAGAAACTTAGGCGCGTGGACAACGCGTGAATTGGTATTGGATTATCCATCTATGAAACAACTAACGGAGAATTTAAATACAAAAAATTACGTAAATTCTAAATTACGGTCAACAAATAAATTGAAGTTAACAGCTTAACAAACAGTTTTTTATTATTTTAATAAAAATTTATTCTATTATTTTTTATAGTAAGTTACAGATTTTGTCCCTGCGCTCTAAATCGCAGTTACAATAAGCCCCTCAACCTAACATTAATGATTAAAGGGCCCTTTACCAAATGCTTACCTAGGTAAGTGTGGAGTAGGGAAGGGAGCCATTAGGTTCTCAAAATCCATATGAGGGGAATAAAGTTGCAGGTGCTGGTTTCTCATAAGAACCAATCGGGTTCACAAAAAATCTAGATCGAGTTCCAGATGGGCATTGATCGAAGATGCGGGAAGGGAGCCGTAGAGGGCAGGGACGGACCTAGAAATTTTTCAAACGGTAATACCAATTGACTATAAGAAAAAATATAAGAATTTTTTTTCAAACGATGACACCATTTGACTTAAAAAACAAATATACGATTTTTTTTTCAAACGGTTGCACCATTTGACTAAGAAAATGACACTAACATGATTCGAACTCGAGTCTGGGGTGGAATAAAAGTTTTGCAAACCAACCCTACCAGATAAAGCATGTTCTTATTGTAGTTTCAAAATATATACGGTGGCACATAACAAATTAATACGGTTGCACCTTTCACGAACCAAAAAATTTTGTACTCGTCAACGGAGGAATAATACAGTGGCACGTGCCACCGTATGCACCACTATAGGTTCGTCCCTGGTAAAGGGTGATGTGCACCGGTGCAGTGAGGATGAGGTGATGAAGAAATCGGTATGGAGGTGGGGTAGGGTTTCTCGAAAGGAAGAGGAGCGTTTGTAATTGAACATACTAATACAATATGTATGTACATATAATGTTAATTATTTTAATATAAAATGAAAGAAAAAAAAGACTAAAATGCTCTTAACTTAACGAAGTTTTTAATGGAAGTTCGGTCAAAGCCTGAGGAAACTGAAACTACGAGGATTCTAGTCATGAATTTTATAATTGAAGGACCTTCTTCATAACTGGGATGAAACCACATGGACAAATTTTGTAGTTTACTTTATTTTATTTATTTATTTATTTGAGTTCAAATAACTAGGGTTGTTAAAGGATCTTCGAATGATTCCTTAAAATTTCTTCAAAATAAATAATTTATATTTAATTTAAAAAAAATTGCATTCAATTTCAACAGATTACAATATTAATTATATAATTAAAATATTTCATAAATTTAATAAAATATTATTTTTTTTCTGAGCATTTAATTTTAAAGATTCTCATTGATGAGAAAATAACAAAAAAAAAAAAAATCTCAAAATCATTTTTGTAAAACTTTGAAAATTTGAAAAAATCTCACTCTTTTTCCTACTTTTTTTATTTTGGAGAAAATCCTAAAGAATTTGTTAGATAAAAAATTTACCCAAAATTCTTAAGGGTGTATTTCTTGCCCAGATTACATGGGATAAAACGAGACAAAAAATAGTTTTATGTTTGACATGACATGGATAAAAATGAGGTGGAAAAATATGGTACAAATATCTATTTTCATGTGATGAAACTAGAGTCTTCTTACATCCAAAAAGATGGAACATTAGACAGAAACACAAAATTTCTATTTAACTCTTCTAATATAACACAACACACACACACACACACATATATATATATATATATATATGGACTGGTTCAAATATTAACCAAAACTATTGTACAAACTATGTTAACCCGATCTTAATCGTTCATTTTCTCATCAAACGGTCTTTATTAAATGAGACTATAAAAATAATCATTTAATTAATATATTAATTGAGATGCCTATGAACAACGGTTAAGAAGGTACTTTTGTAAAAATATTGCATGAACATGGTGAACATTTATATGAACACGGTGAATGTTCATGGACATTACATGGATATGAACACCGTGAACATCGGAATTACCTCATGATCAATTAGAGGGATCTTAAAATATTTGTAACTCCCAAATAATTATTAGGGAGTTACATAAAGGTCAAATTACAAAATGACCCTTGTATTCAATTTATAAGTTACATTTGAACATAAAGTAAAGAAAGAATGTGATTGGTTGATGTTGGTTAGTAGAGTTAACACAAAAAAATGGGTTAGTATTTGAACCACCCTATATATATATATATATATATATACACTAAATTATAATATCATTATAAGTTAAAATTTTATTTTTTATATTAAAATCATTTAAACAATTTTTCAAGACAAATCTAGCCATTTAATGAGTTTTGTCTTATCGTGTTCTAATGGTACCAAACGCATGACAAACAATTAGTCATATATTGTCTAGTCTAAGCAAATGGCTATACGCTACCAAAAATCTTCATTTTTTCCATTTTTAAAGAACACGTTAATATAGTTGAGATGCTCTAAAAGCTTTAACAAGGTTGTCGTAAGAAACCTGACTATTTAATAGGACTCAATGTTTATCTTGTATTTGAACATATTTATTTGTTGATTGTAAGTTGGTTTTATAAAATTCAAACACATTAATAACTTGTTCGTATGTAATAATAAGTTGTAAATTTTATATAATATAGTAAAAACATTGTATGAATATATTTGCATTTGAATATACTGGTGACTGAAATATTTTTGATTTAATAATATAACTTTTTACAAAGATAATAATAAAGTACTTTGTTAAAACTCAAATATTATTCTAATTATATTATTTTTATATTTGAAATGATATTTTTATCTTGTATTTGATTATGTTTATTTGTAGTTAGTTATATGGATTTAAAAATACGGCTTTAATAAGTTGTACTTACACATAATTTACTTGCAATGTTGAATTTTAAGTAATATGTATTAATAAACAGTACTTCATATATAAAAATGATTTTTAAGAGTTTTTATTAAATGTTTTATAATATAACTATAAGGGTACTCACGCAATACAGTGAGATATATCTCGATTCTAACGTTTCATTTTATTATGTCTATGTCGCTATAATACGATTTTATGTGGTTTTAAGAACACGACAATGTTTTTTTAAATAAAATATAAATTTGAAAATATCATAAAAAATAAAAAAAAACGATATTAATATCAAATAAATTATTTAAAAGTATCATTAAATTTTTTTTTATTATAATTCAATTTAGGTTTAATAACAAAGTAATTTATTTTTAATTTAATAACATAATTTTTATAAATATAATAATTAAATATTCTGTTGGAACTCAATGATTAACTTAATTATATTTTAAATATTTTATATTTAAAAATGAGATATTTATCATGTATTTGATTATGTTTATTTGCAATTTGTTATACGAATTCAGATATGGAGCTTTAATAAGTTGTACTTATGCATAATTTACTTATAATACTAAATTTTAAGTAATATACATCAATAAACAGTACTTCATATATAAAAAATAGTTGTTAAGAGTTTTTGACAAATGATTTATAATATAATATAGAAATAGATAATATAGAAAATTACAAAACATTTAGGTAAAAATTAAACAACTTAATTAATAATTATGTACTGCAAATGCATAATATTTTATATTTCATATTTCATATTTTTTTAATAAAATTATTGGATACATATATATTTTTAAACTCTCTGAATTCCATAAAATAAATATTAAACACGTTTAAATAATGATAATTATTGCATATAACATAATACTTCATCATAATGTTTATCAATAAAAAAAAACTTCTAAATTACATCTTTATTTATTAAATCTAAAATATTTAAATTACAATAAAAAAATTAATTATAAAAATTGTAAAAAAAAAACGTTTTTTTTTTAGTGCTTTTCAAATAGATTTTTAAGGATTCCTTCAAAGAAAAAATAGATTTTTAAGGCAAATTAATTAAAACAACCATTTTAGACTTTGAATTCTTTTTTTTAGCTATTTTTCTCTCAATATTTCAAAAATGTCAATATCTTTGTAAGTAGCAGCTTCTCAACTTGTAGAAGGATCAAAGTGTAAAAAAAATCTGAACATGGTCCTCAAGTACAAGGACCAAATATGTAAATTAGGCCCAACACTTTCGCAAATGACGGAAGTGACACTTGCGGACTTTTATCTAATTTACAGATTTTGTTATATAATTGCGGACTATGTTCAAATTTTTCTTACATTTTGATGTCTTCACAGATTGAAGAGGTGTCACTTGCGAAGATAGCAATATTTTTAAAATTTGGAAAGAGAAATATCTAGATGAACCTAAAGCTTGAAAACAATTATTTCTATTAATTTCCATATTTTGAAATTAGTAAGCGGCCGTTTACCAAATATTTATCCGGTAAGTGTTTACCAATAAAATTTAACACTATTATTTACTTATTAAGTAAGATTTTAGTTCACCAAAACAACATCGCATGCAACAATTTACCCGGTAAATGTTCACCGTGTTAAGAGTCGTCGCCCTCACTTACCTGATAAGACTTTTGCTTCTTGTCTCGCTCTTACCGGGTAAGACTCTTGCTCCTTGTCTCGCCCTTACCGGGTAAGATTATTGGTCCTTACCATATTCATCCGGTGAGGTAATGTGACTTGGTAAGCGCTTACCCGAGTAAGCGTTTGGTAAACGGCCTCTAAGATGTGCTTACCTACCATTTATAAACATTTAATATCAAGACTTCTTATTGATAAGAATATAATAAAAAAATATTTTTTTCTCATTATAATATTTTTGGAAAGTTTTGTAAATTTGAGAATTACATATTCTTTATGCTTTTTATTTTTTATTTTGGAAGATCTATTACAACAAATAATTATCAAAATTCATTATATTCTCATTTTAA